TAATCCAGGACAAGGGGGCCACATTTTCCAACCTACCTGGGTACAGTCCGTTAACCACTCACAAAGTTGTAACCCTAGACCAGACCCCCCTTCGCCAAACCGCCTATCGCATACCCGAAGCAGTTAAAGAAAATATTCATAAAGAAATTGAGGAAATGATGCAGTTAGGGGTGATAGAACACTCTGACAGCCCCTGGGCCATCCTGGTAGTACTAGTACCGAAACGGGACGGCACAACCCGTTTCTGTGTAGACTACTGGAGGCTAAACGATAAAACAACCTTAGACGCCTCGTCTATGCCCCGGATAGACGAGCTCCTAGACAAAATGGCCAGAGGCCAGTACCTCACCACAATAGATCTGTGCAAGGGTTACTGGCAAATTCCATTAGCCGAGGACGCCATCCACAAGTCGGCATTTGCCCTGTATCAGTTTAAGCCAATGCCATTCGGGATGAAGAATGCCCCGGCTAACTTTCAGAGGATGGTAGATCGGCTACTGGATGGGTTTGAGGAGTATGCCTGCGCCTACTTGGATGATATAGCCATTTTTAGCTGCTCCTGGCCCTAACACCTGACCCACATAGGAGCCGTACTAGACCGGATCAGGGAGGCCAGACTGACCCTAAAGCCCAGTAAGTGCCATATAGGAACGCGTAAAAACCTCCCCAAGATAGAAGTATGGGCCCCAGAGTGTGAACAGGCCTTCCAACAGCTCAAGACGGCGCTCATTAAATCACCTGTACTTTCTGCTCCTGATCCAACTAAACACTTTCTCGTCCATACAGACGCTTCTATGTTTGGATTGGGAGCAGTACTGAGCCAAGTCGGAGAAGATGGCGGCGAGCAACCCGGGGCTTATCTAAGCCGGAAACTTTTGCCCAGGGAAGTAGATACACTGCCATTGAAAAGGAGTGCCTGGCGATGGTGTGGGCCCTCAAAAAGCTGCAACCTTACTTGTATGGACAACCGTTTACCTTACTCACAGATCACAACAAATTTGGGGCACTGCGCGTGCAATCTAATGTGCCTCCAGATAGGAGTGGTGTGTTAAGTAGTACTATTCTTATCAGTTTAATCCCTGTTACGTCCCCTATCCATTGATGTGGAGCAAGACGCAGCAGCAGAAGAGGACTCAGTCGAGGTGGTTATGGAAGAGGATGGAGTAGGAGGAGTAGAGGAGGTGTCAGCAGGCCTGCCTGCAAGTCATGGCGGTGTCACCAACTCCTCTGCAGAGCCACGCATTCCATGCTTGGCAGCCATCAGCAGGTTTGCCCAATGCGCAGTGTAGGTGATATACCTGCCCTGACCATGCTTTGCAGACCAGGTATCAGTGGTCAGATGGACCCTTGCCCAAACACTGTGTGCCAGACATGCCATTATTTCCTTTTGCACAATCAAGTACAGGTTGGGGATTGCCTTTTGTGAAAAGAAATTTCGTCCGGGTACCAGTGAGTGAGTGGTGGCACTGGGCACAGTATCCACTGTGAGCCTGACACACCCGCTGGCAGACAACTAACTGCTATTCAATCTATAACAGTGAAAAAAGTTTTGGGGTTTTTAAATGCACGCTATTGTTACACCAGATGTGAGTGGCACTGTAAACTGGCAGATTACACGCTGTAGGGCTGACACACCCAATTTGAGACAACTAACTGCTATTCAATCTATAACAGTGAAAAAAGTGTTTTTGGTTTTAAATGCAAGCTATTGTGACACCAGTGAGTGAGTGGTGGCACTGGGCACAGTATCCACTGTGAGCCTGACACAGAAGCTGGCAGCAGTGGCAGACAACTAACTGCAATTACATTACACAAAAAAAAAAAAAGCAGACTGATGTTCTAGCCCTAAAAAGGGCTTTTTGGGGTGCTGTCCTTACAGCAGAGATCAGATGAGTCCTTCAGGACTGTAGTGGACACTGACTGCTAATAGCTTACACTGAAAAACTTTTTTTCTTTGTAAAAGCACGCTATAGAGACACCAGATATGAGTGGCAAAGTACATGGGCAGAGGTCTGCAGAGCACACGCTGAAGGAGGCCTGACACCCAGACGCTTGCAGACAACTAACTGCTATTCAATCTATTACAGTGAAAAAAATTTTTTTTCTTTTTAAATGTCAAGGTTAAGGTTGACACCAGATATGAGTCGTGGCACTGGGCAAATGGGAACAGTATCCACTGTGAGCCTGACACACCCGCTTTAAGGATACTGACTGCTATTCAATCTAGAACATACTCGTTTTCCTGGCACTATAGTGCCCTGAGGGTGCCCCAACCCTCAGGGACCCCCTCCCGCCCGGCTCTGGAAAGGGGAAAAGGGGTAAAACGTACCTTTTTCCAGCGCTGGGCGGGGAGCTCTCCTCCTCCATTCCTCCCAGTCGGCTGAATGCGCATGCGCGGCAAGAGCTGCCCGCGCATTCAGCCGGTCGCATAGGAATGCATTTACAATGCTTTCCTATGGACGCTGGCGTGCTCTCACTGTGAAAATCACAGTGAGAAGCACGCAAGCGCCTCTAGCGGAAGTCAATTAGAGAGCCACTAGAGGCTTTGGGGGAAGGATTAACCCATTTATAAACATAGCAGTTTCTCTGAAACTGCTTTGTTTATAAAAGAATGGGTTAACCCTAGCTGGACCTGGCACCCAGACCACTTCATTAAGCTGAAGTGGTCTGGGTGCCTAGAGTGGTCCTTTAAGGAATTACAAAAAATACTAACTAGTCTCTTCAGGTAACATGATTTTTAACCAGGCAAAGGCAGAACTTAATAAATTAATGTTTATTATGAGCAAAAATTCATCACAGTGCATATAACAATATATGAAAAATTATTTACACCAACAACAGATAAAAACAAAAAGGATAAAATACAGAAGTCCTAATTACTCACTTAGGTTTTCAAAGTACAACTTCTGTCCAGGGGGTCTCTGGCAAGGAAAGATGGTGACTCACTCAAAATTAGATCTTGGCCCCAAGCAAGTACACAAACACCCTTCAGGATCACGGGAGATATACCCTGTGAATTACCACGCCTCATCCAGGGGTGGAGCAATAGGGATACTAAGTGACCACCTCCTTTGTTCCAGAAAACAACAAGCCACATACAAACTTTTGGTTTTATCTCCTCTACTGTACTTGCCACAGAAATAATAATTGCCTCTATGAATTTGTTATTGTTTTCCCATTCCAAAGACATGTTGCACGCCCCGCCCACGATCCAATAGGACGGACATCACAAGTCCTGCCACACGGTTTAAGTTGTGCAACTCATGTTTAGGCTTAATTAAAAGATTGGGCTTGTCCCATTCCAAACATAATAAAAATGAGGCTTATTTATTAACCTGTGGGTAAGTATTAATGTTTCACTTGGATAAGATACTGGAACACAAGGATCTTCATAAAACGAATCCCATTACCATTTCAAATGATTGAACTATCCTTTACAAGGTACATGCCAAATAGATGAAGAGACATTCAGACTTTTTCCAAGTGTAGAACCTCATACCTTGCAGATCCTTGATTACTTCACATCCATATAGTAAAATCATTTTCACATTGCTATGCCATTTACTTCACTTCTGTCATCTGACCGCTGTGGGGGTCCCAGCTTCAAAAGATGTAACCCCTGTTGACCTCAGCAATAGCACCTCTGCAATTTGTGCCATTTACTACACAAATTACATTAAAAGATGATATTCCATAGTGTAATAATAAATTATACACCCTTGCCATGACAGTGCCAATAAGTCTATGGTTAGTCTTTGTTTAAGGGAAGATTTCCTTGTGACAATACCAATGTGTTTGGTGCCATGCTGTAAATGGTGGAGATTGGAAAACCCAAGTAAAAACCCCTCTGCAAATCATGGCTATGAGTGTGTTTACAGCCAATGGTTCTGTTGTGCTGACTGTAAGTGAGTGCATGCTATATTCCTTGAAGGTGTATTTAGGATACCTGCATGGGAGCCCTTTGGAGCTCCAGAGCTTTAGTAAATCTACTACAAGTCTGGAAGGGTGAGGAGTCAGTAGTGTTGAAAATGCATTGGTGTGTACAGATGGTGAGTACGTTATTTGTAAGTTGTATTGGGACACATGGTATGTCATGTGCCCTGAACAATTTGAACATATATGCAACAGTCTATATGCAATGAAACTACTCATATCAATTGGTAGTTCAGAGATGCTGGTACCTGGAGCCTGAGAGTGCTCGTCCATTTGTTTGGGACAAAATCCCTTCTGTATGGGTACCTGCACAAATAAACATCTCTACATATTCCAAATGCCAACCCAACCAAGGGATGGTCAGTTTCCGATTTACCTGGAATCCCTGGACCTGACCATCACAGATACATCATACATATATATGCCTTGTTTCCCCAATGTGCTGGGATCATACGTGCAGGGTTAACGTCTTGTGTGTCATAAGAATTGATTGTACCACGTAACTGAGTTTCGGTTGGTGCTGGTTATACAGTAGCATGAGGCCCAGCCTTGTGAGGGCTGTGGATACCGACTCGAGATTGACAGTCTGTCATAAAATTTATTTTTATTGCTCATGAGTTTATGAGTGAGGCTAGCATGGCCTGGGTGTCACCTGAGGTGGTGTTGTCCGTTGATGTATGGAGGAGTTTCCTTCCTTGCTCTTCAATCGCTCGGTCTCTGTGACTCTGTCCTCTCTTGGTTTTCCTCCTATCTCTCCCAACGCTCATTCAGTGTCTCCTTTTCCAAGCATACCTCCTCCCCTCGTCCTGTCTCGGTTGGAGTTCCCCAAGGCTCTGTCCCTGGTCCCCTTCTATTTTCTCTTTATACTGCCTCTCTTGGCAAGCTTATTGCCTCTTTTGAATTCAACTACCACCTGTATGCTGATGACACTCAGATATACCTCTCCTCCCCAGACCTCTCCCCAGCCGTCCTGCAACGTGTCACTGCTTGCCTTTCTTCCATCTCGGACTGGATGTCCTCACGCTTTATGAAACTCAATCTCTCTAAAACTGAACTCCTTGTCTTTCCTCCTCCTTATACTGATCCTCCTCTCTCGCTCTCCCTTCAAGTCAGTGATATCCACATAAGTCCATCCTTGCAAGCACGCTGTCTTGGCATCATACTTGACTCTGGCCTCACCTTTGAGCCTCACATCCAGTTTGTTGCCAAATCCTGTAGGTTCCAACTCAAAAACATAGCCTGCATCTGCCCCTTTCTTACGCAAGATGCGACCAAAGAGCTTGTCCATGCTCTAGTAATTTCCCGCATGGATTACTGTAACCCTCTCCAGATTGGTCTCCCCAAAAGCTGTATTGCCCAGCTAGTCTGTAATGAATGCTGCAGCTAAACTGATTTTCCTCTCTAGTCGGTCCTCTCACACATCACCCCTCTGCCAGTCCTTACATTGGCTCCCTGTATCCTATAGGAGTCAATTCAAAGTGCTAACCCATACATTTAAAGCACTGAACAATTCTAGCCCCTCTTATATCTCCTCAATGATCCATAGATATGCCCCACCTCATTCCCTCCGCTCTGCCCGTGACCACCTCCTGACCGCTTATTTCATCCGTACAGCCAACTCTCGCTTGCAGGACCTCTCGCGGGTGCCTGCCTACCGACATCAGACTCTCCCCTAGTCTTCAATCATTTAAGAAGAGCCTTAAAATCCATCTCTTCAGGAAAGCTTATGGCCTCCCAGAGTAACCTCTACCTTACATACCTGTCCCTTGCTCTCTCCTGTAGGGCAGCACTCTACCCTCTCCTCCAGCTCTGCTTCACTCCCACCTCATTTGATTGATATTTCCTGTCCTAACGTGTCTTATACCCCACCTCCTATAGACTGTAAGCTTGTTTAAGCAGGGTCCTCTTCAACCTATTGTTCCTGTAAGTTTTCTTGTAATTTTCCTATTTATAGTTAAATCCCCCCTCTCATAATATTGTAAAGCGCTACGGAATCTGTTGGCGCTATATAAATGGCAATAATAATATTATATATATATATATATATTTTTTTTTTAATTAATTATACAAAATAAAGATGCACTCTTAGGTCTTTTTAGAAACAAGTAGTGGTATTTAATCCATCCAAGAAATATTTGTTACAAGTTACCGATTGACGTCTTGACTCGTTCAGGTCTTCCTCAGGATCAACATGTAAACATACAATCAAGGTATATATAAGAAAAATAAAGTGTACTCACCAATTGTGATTAACTCCTTCATCCATTCACGCCGAACCCGGAAGTGAGAATCGGTTGTCACGTGACGTGCCTATTGTTTTAACATGGTTACTAAGAAACCTATATTAACATTGTACGATCTACCTTATAGTAGTCTGTGCAGTGTGTAGATGTGAAGTATGTGTGGCTATTTCTTATTTCCATATGTAGGACATCATATAAATCTAAACAAAATCACTTAGTGCATGTGTAAGTGAATATGTACATAAACAAAATTCTGAACATGCAACAGTGTCGTAGTGTGTGAATAAACAAATGTGCAGATTAGTGCCTAACAGTCAAAGTGATAAAATGGTATATATAAATATCACACAGTTAAAGTTAAAATACAAATGTCAACCATGGACAAAGAACTCTGGTATATAATATATACTACATAGATTATCTAGTATTCCATTAATGAGTATTCTATTAATTCATAGACTCAGTGGCAGAAGAGGAGCAAATTGAAGAATCTTACTATATGGACATTAAGTATGTGGTATAGAATAAATGATTCTAATAGAAACAAAGGGACTTAAAAGTATTGATATACAGATGACATTAGCAAGTAGGGTGGAGGCATAGCTGTATTAAATTATTTTAAATAATATAGTTTCTATCGAGTCTAAAGAAAACTTCTTATAGGCTAGCTCCACCATTATATTCAAACAAAGAAGATAATTATCTATTTGGTCGCCATCCCTTTATCCCATATTCAAGAGAATGGTGATAGAACCATATTTAAAATAATGACAGTATCCAATATTGAAAAGGGGTATATAGATCACATGTTGAAATTGAAAAAGCAACCGGGCATGGTTTTAAAAAAAAAAAAGTAAATAAATAGAACACTCCATATACTGAAGAAGCAATGAATTCATAGTTGTGAATCTTAGGAAAAAAACTTGAAAGTGTGTGTGGCGAAACCGACCTCGCCACTGGGCATTGGAGAAGACTGATTGCCAGCCTCCTGCCATGTGACTATGGCCCCTGGGATGTATTGCCCTTTAAAGACATGATTTAGGCATAATGGATTTGTATTGTGCTGCTGCTGGCCCTTTAAGAACCATCTGGGGACATACTGTGGAGTTACTGGGTGGCCACCATTTCCTGTGTCAGAGGCACATGGTGAGAACAATGGATGGCGGCCATTTTAACTCACAGACACTGTTTGGACTTTTCAACACGGTGCCATCTCGCCAGTATCGGTGCACAGAGATATCGTGCAGTGGTTTTGGACTGTACAGCAGGGGACACATTATACAGTGATTGTTTTTCATTTAGCCTGTATATATGTTCTGCAGAATCTGCATTAAACTGTATCTTCCAAAGTACTGAACAGATCTGGGTGAATTTTGGATATGTGGCTCACCCAGATCCCCCGGTTTCAAGGATATACTTTTTATGGGGTTGTTGCATGTTTTGGGGTCCCTGTGATGTGTTTTGTGAAACTGTATTTCTCAGTCTGTGATAATTAGATTACCCATTGTGTAAGGTAATTGTATCACAGGCAGAGGGGAGGATTTTGTGTGGGAGTGTCTGAATGTATTGTACGTGTTATTGGTTGTTCTGTAAAACCCTGTGGGCAGTACTAAGTTTGTGGATTGGGAATAAAAGAGTCCAGTCAGTTCCTGCTTAACCCTCAAAGTGAAGTGTCGTCTCATTATTGGGGGGAGGATTTATTGTATGCTGTTCCAGTTTGACTGCTATGAGTGTAAACCTATTCGCATGTTTTTTCCTATTCAGCTGTATACAACATTCATATGCTTGAGAGCATTCATATGCCCCTACAGTCCGGTGGTTTTGGTGTCTGCTGCAGTGCTTGGAGTCCTCAGGAAGTGCTAGGCGCATCCTTCAATGGAGGTTCCCAGTCGGGGTGCCAGGTGATCCGTTACAGTGTGTATATTTAGTCTCATTTAAAATGGCAAATTAGAGAAAAGCTGAATAAACAATGTTTTCATTAAGTCCTCTTGGGGTCACCGTGTCAAGCCAGTGGATCCAATGTTCCTCACGTTGTAGCAACATTTTGGATCTGTCTCCACCTCTTGGTAGGGGAGAAATATGGTCAATTGCTGTAAAGCGTAGAGTTGGTAATCTGTGTCCAAAGGTGAGAAAATGTTTAGCCACTGGTTTGTTACTGTAGTGGTCATGGAATGCAGTAGTAATAGTAGACCGATGTCCCTGTATCCGATCTCTAAGAGTGAGGTCAGTCTTACCTACATAAGATAGTCCGCAAGGGCAGGTTATTAAATAAATCACGTGGTCAGTGGTACAGGTGATATATTGAGTAATATTGATTCTTTGGCCATTATGAGGATGCGAAAAAGTGGCTCCACTGACCATTTGACTGCTGGTGACTTCACATCTACACACTGCACGGACTACTATGAGGTCGATCGTACAATGTTTATATTGGTTTCTTAGTAACCACGTTCACTCATGCAACAAGCACGTCACGTGACAACCGATTTTCACTTCCGGGTTTGGCGTGAATGGATGAGGGAGTTAATCACAATTGGTGAGTACACTTTATTTTTCTTATATATACTTTGATTGTATGTTTACATGTTGATCCTGAGGAAGACCCGAACGGGTTGAAACGTCGATCAGCAACTTGTAATAAAAATTTCTTGGATGGATTAACTACCACTACTTGTTTCTAAAAAGACCTAAGAGTGCATCTTTATGTTGTATACTACATATCAGCGGGATTGCACCAAGGCATTTTAATTATTTACAATATTAGCAAGGGTGAGTGCCATTACATGTATATTAGAATATATATATATATATATATATATATATATATATATATATATATATATATATATATATATATATATATATATATATATATATATATATATATATGGGAGCGGCTATGGTGCCTATGTACGCCAATTCATATATGTACATCTTTGAGACAGAACATATATTAGAACCATTCAAACGAAATATCATAAAGTATTTTCGCTTCATAGATGACATCCTGATAATTTGGCGGGGTACTAAAACACAAGCTCAAGAAATGGTGGAACACATTAATCAGCTCCCGACACCGATACGGATGACAGCTAATGTGAACACAGAGAAGGTACAATTCTTAGATGTGGAACTATCCGTGGAAAATCATAGAATGGTCTATAGCCTCTACTCCAAACCTACAGATAGGAACACCATACTACACTATAATAGTGCGCATCCGATGAATTTGATAAAGTTTAAACCTAAAGCCCAATTTCTCAGGGTCATGAGAAATAACTCAAAGGAAATGACGAAACAACAACAATTACAAGAAATGAAAATGAAATTTCTGGATAGAGGATACAGTGAAAGAGTCTTAGATAAAGTGTTGGAAGAAGCAGAAAAGAATGCGACCATGTTACAAGACACTATTACAGGTCCCAAATTGGTCTTTCCTATGACGTTCCATAGTAAAATCACAGAAAATAACCAATATTGTGAAGCGTAATTGGAACATGTTGGCATGTGATAATAGTTTACCGAAAGAATTCAAGGAATCACCGAGAATTTGTTATCGAAGAAACAGAAATTTAAAGGATATACTAATGAGAACAGACCCTGTTGAGAGTTATACTGAGCAGAAGAAAATACAAATAAGAGGTAGTGTGCGCTGTTTAGGTTGCGTGACGTGTAGTCACATGGTTCCAGCACGTAATTTTAACCATCCACATAAAAACAAGATGTACAAGATATGGCATACCATCACGTGTAAGATGACCCATGTACTATACAAAATATCATGCCCTTGTGGCTTGGTCTACATAGGGAAAACTGAAACACAACTTTGCGATAGAATTAGGGGTCACAGATCTAATATAAGAACTGCCTATAGAGATGGATATACGGACAAACCTGTGGCGAAACACTTTTTAGAATATAAACATTCTTTGACCATGTTAAAATTTGTAGCAATTGATTGGATACCATGTTCCAGAAGAGGAGGAGATAGAGGCAATGCCCTGATGAGAAGAGAGACATTCTGGATACATGAATTGGATACAGTGGCTCCAAGAGGACTGAATGAAATGATATCATATCATCCGTTTATATGAGTAGTGTTGAAATAATTGACTGCCTCCTCTGAGTTTATGAATATATATTTTTAATTAGAATTAGAGGAAGAATATATTTATCTATTAAGAATTAATATGTATTAATATTAAGATAAGACAATAGAGACAAAACATTATGTATCCAAATTA